GGCCGAAAATTTTTAAAATCGGACAATAACCACGCCCTACACTCCCATATAACGGTAATTTCGAGAAATACAAAATCTTCGATAAATCAGTAAATATCAAAGCTAATTTATTCAAAATTGATGGTTGCAACAATTCTTTACTAAGAAATACGTTTATGATAAAATTTTGGAAAATGGGCGTGGCACCGCCCACTTGTGATTACATATATGTATCTCGCTAACCGTTCTAGCAATTTGTACCAAACTCGGTATGGTTATTGTGCTTGCCACATAAAAGCAAACCGTTGAAAATTGTTGAAATCGGTCTTAAATTACGGCCGCTTTTCAAATAACAATAAATTTCAGAAATGCTTGAAATTTCAATATGTCGAAATTTAAGGACGCTAATTTACTTAAAATGTATACACCCCGGCTTATCATGTAGCGGTAGCTTTCGGCAAGGTGGAAAACATATCTTTAATACTTGCGCCGGGTATTTAATGTTCGGCTCCGCCCGAACTTAGACTTTCTTACTTCTTTTTATTTGGCCTTGGTTATAATAAACAAAACCAATATTTTTGTCCATTATTGGCGGAGTCCGTTATAACCGAGTCTATTTTAACTGAGTTTTTTTCTTATGTTTGAATTAGGACTTGACAAATAGGTACATATTAACAGAGTTTCCATATTAAGCGAGTCCATTATAAATGGATTACACTGTAGGATCCTTTTTTCCGTTAAGTTGACCAGGGACCAATTTATTCGAAAAAATCTTATTTCCGATTGTGGATGTTTAACAATACTTATTACCCTGGCCAACAAAAATAGATAGACTTTTTTGTGCTGATTACGAATCCGTAAGTATAAAGTTTCCATTAGCTCTAGATTTTGAGAAAAACGTGGTTAAAATGTCAAAAATTCGGGGTTTTTGCAATATTTGAGAAGCTCTAGCAAGGAAACAAAAGGTGATAGAACCTTTCACTCGGGCTTAAATTAAAGCTAGAACTCCCGGCAGATTTAAGATTTGCCGCATCGAAATCAGTGTTGCCCTGTGTTGTCTATACTAATTATATAAAAAGAAGCTCCTTCTTTTTACAAGAGGTGATCTGCGAACGGCTGTACCAATATTTTTGAAATTTTGGACACCTACTGCAGGCTTTCGATATATTTAGGGAGCGTGGCATATCCCATACATATCGAATTTTTCATACCATATATCTCTGGAAGTATTTGGGGTAGAGTCTTGGAACTTGGTACTGAGATTTGGAAATCAACCCCATACTCATGGAGAAAAGTGGGGGCTATTGGAAAAGGGGGACGTGGAGTCTTCCATACATATTAAAACTTTTACCTATCTGTAAATACATATATGCACCAACCAGAACAAGTCTCCGTACAGTGTTTTTTTAATACTTGCAATCTTTTTCATAATAAAATTTTTCGTTAATTTTTTATAGAAATATTGTTCATTCAAATTTAGGAAAATTCGACAAAGTCTAACCCAAATTTTAAACTTTTAACCAAATTTTGAATAGGCAGTTTTGTATTTCACTCAATTTCAGTACAATTAAGTGCAACTTTTAAGCTACTGTTGATTTTTGAGATTTTTTTTGCTGATGATGTTGCGCATTTTCTCCGTATAAAGAATGCGTGATAGTTTTTTTTTGTGTGGGAAAAAATGTTAATTCTTCGGTACGTGTGTCACAAACACTGAACTCCTTCTAACCGAGCGAAACGATTTTTATGAAATTTCCCTGTCCCTGTATAGTTTAGGTTCACAACTTAAAACGCCAGGAGGCGCTGTGGTCGAGTTATTACTCAATATTCGTATTTGTGATCCGATTTGACTCATATTCGAGATATATATGTATTGGTAACGATAGAGGCAATACTATTACAAAAGATACGCAAGACGGCGCTGGAGCCGATCCATTGCTAAAAATCGTCAAGTGAATTCATTCGGAGGCACCAGGGATCAAAGTCAAATTACCTCCGTTAAATCAATCTTCAGAACCATTGCGGTCGACTATTTAAACAGAATAAAGACAATTCTTGACGAATGCTTACAATTGTAAGACATTAAGGTATTGGATTTCTGAGGACCAATGATACTCCCCAGTTTGGAAATTGCCACCAACTATACTATACAGATTCAAAGACGATTCACCATCGAAAGGGATCGTTGTTGCCGTAAGGACTTCTTCCTAGCATAACGATTTCGTCAGGTGATTTAGGACGGCAATGGGGGATATGCCTTTTGTCGACCACAAAACCAAACGTGAACCTGAATTGCCGGCAAAAACGTTGGTCTATATGTTTCAATAAAAAAAATATTTTTGGGCAGGTATCGCTAATGCAGGTATGTTGAATGCAAGTATCGGAGCAGTTTCCTTATAAATGTTAAAAATAATGCCGCTGATGCGCATTTTGGGATAGGTATCTTAAATGTGCACTTAAGCGCAAAGGCCTCAAAGCAAAATATACTGTACTTAAACCAGCACTTCCAGCAGATATTGACCTAGGTTTTCGCACGACTGTTCATGTTTCATCGTTTCTTTTTAGGAAATTCTTATCGCCGTATACATATGTATGTATTAATTACACTAGTACATAAATATTTATGTAAATATTTTTTATGCTTAAAAATAATAATAATAATAGATTGGCGCTTACACATACGTTAGTGTTTGGCCGAGCTTCTCCTCCGATTTGTGGCGTGCGCCTTGATGTTGTCACACAAAGCGGAAGGATCTACAGTTTTACGCCGACTCCGAACGGCGATTGTATTTTTATGAGAAGCTGTTTTTCATGGCAGAAATACACTCGGAGGTTTGCCATTGCCTGCCGAGGGACGACCGCTGTTAAGAAAAAACCTTTTTTCTATTTTTTTTTTGCGATGTTGCTTTAACCATAAAAATAAAATAAAAAAATCTCTCGAAAATTTTATTTAAAAATTTGTATGTAGTTTATAGATTAATCCTTATTAATACATATGTGTAACTAAATGGTTCCATTTGAAAAGGCAATCTTAACTACCCTGTGGGAAAATCTCTAGTTTTGAACTGGTGCGCTTCTAGTACATTTAGAACCACTACTAGTTCGCGATAAATCTCTTTTGCATGCAAACAACTGGCGAATTTAACAGAGGTGCTGACTGTTATTGGTAATATTCCAGAAGGTCCCAAAATGTTAAGATGTTAACACAAATATTAGTTTTGTATTACTAAACTATGAAAAAGCATCTGCGACGTGCAGACTGAAAGCGTATTTGAACGAAAAACCCGCCAAGCAAAAATCTATTTAACCCTTTAATGTCAAATGTTGCTTATAGGCAACATTATATATTTCTACGCGTAGTTTCTATAGTTGTTGTTATATTTGCTAACGGTTTTTTTTTAAAGTAGCTAATGTGTGTGGGCATTTTCTTGAGAATTTATATTTAGAAAAGCTTAACAGGTGTTCATTTGAGAGCTAGTTGAAGTGGTGTGCTGACGTGTGCAAAAAAAAGTGAAAATAATCGTTCTATAAAAATTCAAATAAAAACGTAATACGTAAGATTTTTTTTATAAAAAGTGAATTTTATTATAAATAACAGGTAAGAAAATCAAATAAAGTTTACAAAACTAAAATAAAGTTTTTTGTTTTATGTCAGGAATTTCGCGAACNTACGTTGAAATATACCACTATGGCTAAATGTTGCTTATAGGCAACTTCTCATAACTGTAAAACCAGAAGTCCTAGAGCCTTGCAATTGATATCAGTTCATATTTAGGACTCTAACATCAATCTAACGTAGTAAAAATATTTTTAACAGCGCCCACTTTAATTCTGACATTAAAGGGTTAAAGTAAACAAGCCCCCGCTGCATCCCTTTTTAAGTAGTTTCGAACTAGTTCAAAATTCGCCAGATGAGATCTAGTTCGTTCTGCATCCCTTTTTCTACCACCAGTTTTAAATTCGTCATTTTAGATAGATTTCTAA